ATTTTGTCACGTTTACTGTTGGTTTATGAGATTTTCAAAGGCTTTTCTGGCATTTTCCTAGGAATGCTGTAGGCTTTGTCTAGATTTTGTTATGTTTTCGGCTGGATGCTTTTCCAAGCACGTATGGTAAATCTGGGAGGTACCCAAAAGTCGACTTTTTGGGTACCTGCTGTGGTGGTGATGGGTCTGAACTCTTAGGCAATCATATCGTCTATGGGGAGAAGGGTTCAGCATCACGGGGTTCATGCAAGCGATGACGTCCGATGGTAAATCTGGGAGGTAGACTTTTTGGGTACCTGCTTTGGTGGTGGGTTGGGTCGCCGGGAGAAACCGATCGATTCAGCACAAGTCCGGGCGCCGACACTTGTCGCACTTGAATGTACCCGAGACCATGGGCAGCGCCCTGCGCCGCCGCATCCACACTCCTCGCGGTCTGCCCGCCGTGGACCACGAAGCTCTCGCCACAGGCCACCACAGCAAATCCCTCCATTCTCGGCCATGCAGCAGCATCAGTGCCCCACGACACACATAGAGCCACCCCAAACAGCTGCCACCTGCCCTCCAAGACCAGATCCACAGAGTCCTCAGCCCAGAGCTTTCCCTGTAGCAACTGGTCCTCCAAGGTTCGACCACTGGTCCAGTCCCTTCCCGCGAGCTGCCCCTGGACCATCCGCAACTATCACAACCACACTTCTCCAGCCAAAAGTGCTGCCGGCAACGCCCAACTCACGCTCCGCCCGCGCTAAACCCGCTCCTCGCACCCCGGCGCTCGCATTCCCTAGCTTCACTCCACACTCCACTACACATCCCTTGCGCGCCTCGTCCAGCTCCAGCAGCCGTCCGCTTCCGCCAGCCTCCCAAAACACTGCGCGCCGGCGTTTTCCGCTCACGACAACTACACCGAGCAGTTTTCCGTGGCCTGCATAAGGGCATGGGCAACGCCCTCGCTGGCTGACGCGACCTAGCAGACACCATGGGCAGCGCCCTTCTCCCGCAGGGAGCGCACAACACAAACACCGGCCGCCTCTCACCCGACAACTTGGGTGACGGGGGCTCTTCTCGACTCCTGCATTTGGCTCAAGGGGTGCTCCAGGAAACCCTACCCTTCCACACCCTTCCGTCCCCCCCTCCCCCCCCCGGCCTACCGCACTGCAGACATTCGGCCACGCGCGCGTGCCGCCCGCGTGTACATGGCTACGGTCTCTTCCCTGGCTGGCGCGAGAAGCTCGCCATCACCTCCCCGAGCTTCCGTTTGCGCTGCTCCGTCCTAGAACCAACACGCCACATGGCGCAGACACGGGCGCCTGACAGGCATGCGAAAATCTTACCAGGGCCTTTCGCGTTACCGCGGGCACTGGCTGGACCTCGTCCAGCACAAAATCTAGACAAAGCCTAGCGCATTCCTGGGAAAATTCCAGGGCATTGGCCGGGGTTAAAAATAAGTTCATCAATTTTTGAGCAAATCTACATGCAAGCGGACATGCTAGATAATTCTACAACCATGGAAAAAATGGGGAACTCCTACCCGGGGGCGGTCTAAGGCTAAGGCTAAGTCTAACGCTAAGGCTAGGCTAACATCAACAGAGCTAGCGCTAAAGGTTCTATCCCTTGGGGGTCGGCGGCTGCAGGCGGTAGCCTGGTAAATAAAACTAAATAAAGGATGATGACGAGTGCGAAGCATGATGACGAGTGTGAAGCATGTGTGTTTAATGAACATCTATATACACACAAATGCATTGTTTGTTCATGTTTGTTCTACTTCCTGCAGATTCCTGCAGCGAGAAGAGATTCTTCTGGCCGTTATTTTATGGCTGCAGTGAGTTTCAACGGACACATGTGCATGTGTGCATGTGTACATGTGCATGTGTGTGGTACATGATGTACATATGCATGTGTGTGTGCATGTGCATGTGTTTACGACCAAATCGATCATCAATCCGCCTCATGAAGAACTTCCACGCATCATCCGCTCCACATTGGAAGGGCCACTGGATCCATTGGTCGATGGTCACCTGACGTCTCCGCGGTCTCCGCACCGCTCTCCCAACTCGGATGGATTCGTTTAGGTCCAAGGGTGACGAGAAGAGAAACGACTGAAGAGGGTGTTGCAGCTCCCTGAAAGAGTCTTGAGTCTGAGTCTTACACTCCCTGAAAGAAGCTACTCTCATAGAACCAAGGGAAAAGCGGATGGGCGGATGAACCAGGAGTGAGTGAGTGAGTTCACCGCCTGGGACGGGTCTTTTCGGATGTTCATGAACAGTCAATGCTCATAGACAGTCACTGGGTGACTTCCTTCTTTTCTGAAGAGCTTGACCCCTTCCACCAACAAAAGCACTCCCTACAGAATCCCCCAATCTATATTCAAACATTTCACACATCCACGCAGAGCAGCCCAAGTGCCCAACCATCCAAACCTGAGCCTGAACCCTTTGGGCTGAAGACCGCCCGGCCCCTTCAGCCCGGCACCTTGGCATCGGCATCGGAGGCGGCCGCGTGTTGCTGGCGGAGGCTCTTGGAGATGAAGTCCCGGGAATACCTGAGACGATGGTCTGAGATCGCAACGCTCGGGGCGAACGGAGCCAAAGCGCGAAGCGACAGGCGACAGCAATGTTGGTGAAAAAAGGCCACAGTTAGGTGGGGTGTGGGGAGGGAACTGTGGTGCTCTTGGTTGGAGGGTGAGAGCTGTGGATTGTTTTCAGGCTCTTGCATGATTCGCCCGACGACCAAACTAATTTGCTTCAAAAAGGCCGGATGTCACTTCATGTAACGTGATTCATAGGGGAAGAGTCACTTCTTGTTCTCGATATTCTGGGAGGTCCAAAGCACAAAAGGAAGGAAGTGCTAATGATTGAACAGCGTCATCTCAAGCTGTTGAGGGAATGCCGAGTGCTGCCCTATAGTTGGTTTCTTCCTTTAAACACTTCCTACCAACCAAACAGTCACTCAGGATTTGAGCTGGCCAAACGACCGCCAGCAGTCTGCTGGGTCCTGTGGCACCCGGCCAGGAGAACATGGGCAAAACAAAGATGCCAGCAGCCACCTGTCTTTTGCGGAGCATGCAAGCAATGGCAAAGCATCACAAACTGCGACAAGACATCAAAACCCACCAGGAGATCAGATGAGATCAGGGGTCGGGGCGCTGTTTGATGGACCCTCCCCCCAAAAAAGGGCCCCAGAGGGTGGGTCGAACCTCCTGGATGCACCTATGGTCTGCGCCCAGATGGTCTGAGGGCGGACGGTCTGCTGAAGGTCAGGTGATGAACTGCAACTGACTGCAGGAGCATGTTTTTCATGCAAGCCAGTGTCAACATCCAACAGCTTTCATCATTTGCCCAGATACTCTGGGCGTCAGTGGGTCCAAAGTTAAGGGAACATTAACATATGTGTATAGACCTGCATAGATCAGAGTCGAGATTCTGAATACTACAAGAAAAGCAATATAAATCTAAGTGTTGCAACTCGCAACAATAATTATCCTCTAGTATACCAGTATGATAGAATCCGTCCTCGCCCATGTGCAAGGCCCAGGCGAACAAATCCCCACGTTCAAAACAAACGTCTCTGCCGTCTCTGCCTCTGCCGGAGCTGTCTCGATACCAAGCTCATCACACACTTGGAGCACCTGGCACGTGGAGCATCGGGTATTTTGCACCTCCGCTGTGCCATGTGCTTTGAAAAAAGAACCATATCATGACCGGTAGGCTGATTATTCTTCAGCAAGCACTCACCATGCGGCACAAAGAACAGGAGCCTTGTCAACCTATCTTTGGAACTGGCTACGGCTTGCAACCAGTGTGATAGATTTGAGTCAGGGGTGTGTTGAAATAGGTAACCAGTATGCTTCCAACCAGTGTGGGTGATGGGTGTGTGCGAGTGTGTGCGTGTGCGAGTGAGTGGGTGTGTGTGTGTGTGTTGAAATAGGGAGACCCCCAAAAGGACCCATGGAGGAGCAACCAAACGGGGCCGGGAACACAAGCAGGTTGGGGCTTATCATTGAACTTTTGCATCTATTGACACGAGAGAAGTACCATAATTACACCATGAAATCCAGTCCACAAGCCACACAAATGCCATCCAGCAGCACTCGTGTGGGTTGTACTCCCGCAGCAGGGCTTACTCTGTGGATGAGATCCCATGGCCCCTTTTGTTGTGATGACCCGTCCCAAACATCCGAAGACCCGTCCCAGGTGGTTTCCCTCACTCACTTCATCGATTCCTCCGCACCGGTGCTGCGCACCCCGCCGCTCCCTGCGGTCGCTCCTGCCGCCGCAGAGCCGCTCTCCGTTTTGGACCGGGTTCGGATCTCGCGGGCTCCGTCGTTACGCGTTGGGCTTTAAGAAGCCCTCCAAGCGTTTCTGAAGGCTCATACGCATAAAGGCTTCCAGGACCTGGAAGACGGGAAAAAAAGAAGCGGAGGAGAGAGCGGAGCGGAGAGCAGGACAGGCCGTATTTTCCAGGCATCAAGCTAAACCCTTGGGCCCTTGGGAAAACCAATTGGCAAGAATACAAACAAGATGGTACAGTATTAAGACTTTCAGGAGGCCAATATCTTTGAGAATCTGTGAGAACAGTTTCTTTGATGTTTAATTAAAATAGAGAAACCAAGATCAGTTTGGAGTCTGGGGATGAAGTGGCACAACTTCCCTCTGCAATCTGTGAATATTGGAACTGCGGATCCACTCTGAGAGCGGGTTGATTATGCATCCCATCTGCGTCAACAGATAGGAGAAGCACGCGCGCAAACGACCTACTTCACCCTACAAATCAATTGGAACATCCAAAGAATGGGTTGAAATGGGTTGAATATGGTTGAATGGGTCGACATCCCTTGACAACCCTTGACACCTCTTCAGTACTGGTCGACATCCCTTGACACCTCTTCACTGGCAGAAGTTCGATCAAGCCTGATCAAGCAATGTCTTTTTGGGAACAGAGGGGTCGATGCCAAGTACCACGTACCAACATGCCCCACGACCGGGGGTGTTCCCTCTATTCATCAATCAGCCAGTGGCAAACTGCCATCCACGTTTCGATCCCTTTCGTACGGCGCCGGCGCCCCGCCTGTCCACTGTCCCACAGTGCCGCCGACGCGCCGTTCCCGCGTCTCGAGACACGCGGGAAAACGCCGTGTCGAGACACGCCTTGCAGGACTTGTCGGCGGCCTCGATACAGCTGGACCAAATGGTCGCATCCAAGGGAGCACCACTGGAGATGTGACTCACCAATTGATTTCCTCAGCGACGTTGGATGGCAAATGGTGGTGTTTAATGGTTTTGGAGGATGTTTGGAGGATGCAAGTGGCACAAGCTTTGACTGGAAACAGGTCGGTGATGTGCATAATTGTTAATAATTATATGGTAATTCATATATTAAATATATCTTCATAGTCTCTTCAGAACTTACTTCGAGGGATCCGTTAGCTTCTTGGTACTTCGCAATGACCCCATAGCTGCATTTGGCTCATAAGGTCACCCCACTGGGTTCTGGGCGTTTTTGAATCTTCGCTCGCATACCAAACTGCTACAATCACCACCCTAAGGCGAAAACACCCCAAACATCACCAAAAGCTCGCTTCCCACCCACCCACCGGCTCGCACCGACCGCTGTTTTTTCCTGTGTGCAAACCTGGGGTCCTCCGCGCGCGCCCCCGCGCGGTCTGTGTTTCTTGCCACGGGTCGGCTGCCATCCATGGACAGCGAGATCAAGGCGTCACACTGAGCTTCCTCCAGCTCCGTGGGGTCCAACCTAAGCCACGGAGCGGACGGCCGGGTCTCCCAGCGAGCAATCTGGCGAGCAATCGGAGAGCACGGGGAGTGAAGCGATGCATGGAAAGGTGGCGAAAAAGGAATCTCCAAGCTGCAATGAACGGATAAGGATGAAACGATACTCCTCAAGTCCAGTTGGATGTGATTGGATCTTGTGTTCCTTGGATGGTCCTCTTCGACTGTGCTCTGTTAGGGACTTAGTAAATGTCGAGACCGCAACAATGTCCTCATGAAAAGCATAATTACTGTATTACTGTACCTACCACACATACACATGGTAGCTGCTGGCTCCACCTGTGATATGGGGCATCTCTGCGAAGGGCAGTTGGAACCCCAAACACGTTGCTTTTCACGTTGATGACCCGTCCCAAGTTTGGACCAACCAGTATATCTGTTGTCCTCCATCCACAGCGATCCTCCAGAGCTCACAACGTCTGGTGGGGTGACCTATATGTGTCCAGCTGACCTTTGTTGCCCGAGGATGCTTCAAGATCGACACCAAGAGGCCAAATCACCGGCTCTGGGCTCAACTTCACCTCAGCCAATGGCCAAGAAACACAAGGATTCTACTGCAAGCTTGCTCCAGGTGCTGGATCCCAAATTCCACTTACCAATTGGCACCCACCCCTTCTTTGTCCAAGTGACCAACATCATGACCTACCAAAAACACTAAGAATACCTCCCTCACAAGTCACCTCGATAACCCACCTCACCCAAACCGTGCACCCCAAACATCTCCAATGCCATTGAGTCTGAACACAACCCATGCCACTTGACGTCAAATTATGAGTCTATATATATATTTATTTATATAATTATATAACTATACATATATATATATATAACTATAATTGTATATACATCCCTGAAGTTCTGCAGGAAAAAAATAAAACATTTAAAAACACACACAAAGACAAAACAAAAACATACAAAAACGAATCTGATCTTGAAGTAGCTGTTTTCTCACCAGTTCATCCCGAGTCATCCTCGCCATCTTCCCCAGGTCTCCATCTTCTCCCATCACCAATGCTTCCCACGTCACTCCCAGTGCCACACACATCGCGGTCGCCTTCATCGCCACGCCTGCGTCCAGCAGCGCCAAATGCGCCGCGTTGCCCGCCACGGCCGCGGTGGAGCCGTCGCAGCAGCTCATTTGCACGATGACCTCAGCAGCTCGGGCCGCATTTGAGGGCGCCCTTTGAGGGCCTGGAGGGCCTAAGTTTTCATGGAGATCTATATATATATATATATCCTTGCTGGAAGAATGTATTTGTAGAACTGAGCGTATTTAGCTGCATATGTAAACCGTATAGTATACGTATTGCTATCATTTACCATCATTATATACACTTGTCAGCCAGCTTGGATGTCAAACACTTGGATTCGAGGTGCTTTACCAATCTGTCGCCTCCATGAATAGATCATCCCGGCCCCGAACGAGGGAGAAGCCCTAGAGGATCAATCCGCACTATCCCTGATCTATTTGGAAGAAATACCAATGATTCAATGATCCAAGAGATGTCACCCATGTTCGCCGTATAAGCTCACACTCATCATCAACGATCGAACCTGCCGGAAACAAAAAAAGAAGGAACGGAAGTTCAGCCAATCAATGGCAGGTCGCTGAGATCTGTGTGCGAGGGTATTCCGTGGCCAGCACCACCTGAGGGTCCAGCGTGGCATAGCGACAACAGTGGCACAGCGTGGCGATGCAAAAAAACACCTGAACCACAAGGATCCCCTTTCTCTTGATAGTGCTGGTAGCTTCTCAAGGAGAGTAAAATTTGTGTCCATTTACAGTATGGGTCAACAAGTAGAGGAGACAGACAGTGAAATCATTCTCAACAACAATCTTGCCGAGATCTAGATCGAGAACGCAAGCATATGACCCCAAGTACAGAACGCGTCCATGTTTCACAGTACCTGGCACTCTATGAGTAACAGGTGGGAGTAGCCTGGCGTTGGAAGAGACTTGGTGTTTGCTCGCATCCCCATCCACAAACGCCAACTCAGGAGAGAGGATCAAATCGGCGAAGAGAGCACCAAGATAATCCAAGGCACATATTCCAGCTGTCGTGCCAGCAACGCTTCCATCCTTGACTGCCACTCGTTGTGTGAGGGCTTGTCAAGGAAACAAATCCGACAACGATCCCCTCACCTGCCCATGCAAGCATCCTCTCACTCCACAAAATTCCAACCTCCCACTCAAAGAATCCACTCACTTCACCCATCCATCCGCTTGTTCCAATGTCTGTATGTTTCCCCTCTTCTCACTTCTCCACCCTTCTCCACTCCACTCCAGTTCATTCCAGTTCCAAGCTTCTGCCGTTCTTGAGGCCCTGGAATCCCCACCCGCGGCCGCACCACCACGTCCAGCGTGCAGCGGTCGCAGAGCTCCCGGTGCCGCGTGCGCGGCTCCTTGGGGCCATAGACGGCGGCCAGGACCTGAGAGCGTCCGGACGCGCTGGACGTAGCTCCGGACGCGCCGCTACGAACGTCACAAGGGCATTACTAGTAGCAGCTACTAGGTGGAGGCCATCGCTATTAGGTTGGAGGCCATGCTACTAGTAACTAGGGCATTACTACTATAGGTAGCAGGTATCTACTAGTAGCGTCCTTGCTCCTAGTAGCGTCTTGGAAAAGGAATTCAGGGTAATCAGCTTCTAGCTACTAGTAGCGCTGCCCTTGTTCCTAGTAGCAATGCACCTTGCTACTAGTAGACAAGCTGAGCCATGCTGTTTTTTCTGATACTGCCTCAGGATTTGAATCAGAGCAACCGAGTGGAACCCAGTATTATACAAGTTGCATCTGTTTGTTGTTAAAAAACTGTTCAGAGCTTGCAAAGATATATGTGTGCCCCATACTGTTGTTCGTGTGGACTGCCAAGGGGTGGTTGATGGGTGGACACCCCTGGACCTCTAAGGGGGGCTAGGCTATTGGGGCTGGGTCTTCTTTCTCACCTCTCGGGGCCTCTCTAGGTCTGGATCGTTAGCTCGCACGTACTATCCGGTGTTCCATGACTTCTTAACAAAATCCGTATGGCAGACTGAAGAGTTGGAAGAGCAGACTTCTTAAAGCTCACGAGCTAGTTGGATCGAATCTATGGATGGATGGAGACCAGTTGGTGCACGGAGGTGTGAATGAGATTGGATGGATGAACATGCATGACACCTGCAAATCAATTGAACGACCATCAATAGGAGTGCATCACGGAAACACATGGACCAACTTCTTTGACATACCATATCCATTTATTAATTTAAGGACCCGGCCCATTGTTTTATGGCCTTCATGGTGTCAAAGACCACACCCCACCCAACACCGCCCACGGAGAAACAACAATTGAAGAGCCAAACCAGGCAAAAAGGACCTGACTGGCACATACTGGCACTATCCATCACTATCCCACCAAAAACACCTTCCTCCACAACCACCCAAACCTCGCCCAAACAACCTCACTTCGCCCCTCAAACGCTCGGCCGGAGATACCGTGCAGTCTCCGAAGCGGAACCGCGCCGAGCCGTCGGCGCGCTGCAGGGGGCGCAGCTCCACCTGCGGTGGACGCAGCTGGTTGGCACTGCGGCCGTCACGCCGCGCCATGGCCGGTGGCGACCGCCCGCGCCGCGTCGAGGGGCAGCTGTTTTTGGGTGGTGTGATTTGGTAGCTCGGGAGTAACAGATTCTGGACTGTATGATGAGACTTGATGAGCTAGGTTGAGGGAGTATTACAGAATAGTACATTACATTGGGAATTTGGTGTCAACAAGACGAATCTTTGATCTGGAATGGTGGGAAGGTGTTTTCGCTGGTGTGTTTTCCTCGAGAGGTTTATGAGATGGTACGAGTGCCCATCCTAGGCATTTGGTCGGTGGGATCAGGCCGATCTTGCGTCCAAGTACATCATTCTGTGTGATTTCATCACTTGGGCGTGGAGAGTTCCTGGGAGATGATGTGCTCATGGGAGATGAACTGCTGTGATGTCTCTTCATCGGTGGGGATCTTGACAGCGGACTGAAAGAAGGGGCCCTTGGAATGTTGGTGGAACGTGAACTTGAACCAAAGGAACTGTTTCGCTATATTCTCATCTTTTCTATCTAAATGGGTTGATGCCGCGAACGACTGATTGCAAGATGTCCGTCGTCTAGATTTTGCTGACGTGCGAACAGCCACTCACAGCCGCTCAATCTGTCGACCCCTTGAGGATGGGCTTGACTCCATCACTCGAATTCCTTCAAGATGGGGAGAAGGCATGAGTCTGCTCACCTGCTGCCAAGAGCCCAGCTCCGATGTTTTGGCAGGTCCGAGATGCATCGTCAGTTGCGCAGTAGCGTTCCCGGTTAATCCCAAGGAGCTCTCCAGATCAGCGGAAAAAAAATGCTCCAACCCCCCCATGGGGGCCATGAAATGACGCACTTGGGACCCTTGGGCCCTGGGTAATACAAACATGCAGGTTTACTAGCATCCCTGAACGAGGATGGTACCGGGAGTGGTTTCAGAGGTGAGAAATGGCACAAGTGAACCCAAGTTTGGTGGTCTATATATGGACCTTCATCTTTTCAGGACATCTTGAGGTCTGTGCCATCTACTCAACCACAGAATTAAATAAACACAACTAGTAATCATTGATGGACAGTCATCCTGCACCACCTCCGATTCGGCGATTCCTGAGCTCGCATGAGTGCACGGACCGTGCGGTTGGACTCCGCCGGTGCAGGATGGACTGTGTATCCCAAAGGCTCCATGGTGGTGCAACTATGACCATGGGTGATTTGAGTGGTTTATAGTCCGTATCAACCTACATTGGAGCAATTGGGATACGAAACGCAACATATCCGTTTCCCACTGAATCATACCGAATCCCCAAACTTCTCCACCAACTGAATCCCGAAACTTCTTCTATAGGAACATGAAGGAAATAAACTATATCAAAATTGATTATTCTCACATCTTCGACGGCCTTGAAAAAAGAGCTGATCTTCGGTCAAAGAGACCCTTCGCATCAACCGTTCTGTATCTCCAGGGGGTCCTCCATGAGATTTTGCAGGTGGACCAGCTGGGCGACGCTACACCATTCGATCTCGCGCACTGAGAGTCGCCGAACGACCATGGACCAAATGGACTCTGTCGCTCGTCACGCGAGACGAACTCGGTCGCGGGAAGGGGAAATCCAGCTGACGAACCTCTCCCAGAGTTGATTAGAAGAGGAGGTCGTCACTTCTGCAGGTGTGGCGCCTCACAAGGCCAGAAAATGGGTGGAGAGAAACCTTCAGGCCCCTGGCCTGCTAGCCATGCCCTTAGCCATGGCAGCAAGCACTTTGAGAAGGGTGAAGAGTTTCAGACTTCAATCCCTGGTGCCACACATAAACCCAACCCTCAAAAGCCTTCTCATGAACAATTAACAAAGGTTTCCAGCTTTAGACTGCAGTATCTCAGGGATGGTTTCAGTATGTTTCACTTCTTTACCAGTCCGGAAGGCTTCATTCGGGCAGTGCCAAGCATGCAAACAAATGTGCGTCGCGCGTCCGCCCCGTCTCTTGTAGCCGAACGTCCGCGCGGCACATCTGCCAAAATGCGAATTGGGCGCCCCTCGCGATGGCTCCAGGAGTTCGTTGAGACGGTCACATCATCCGGTCGGTGGTTTTCTTGGAGAAGTGGTTGGACAGCGGAATCCGGAGGACTCTCCGGAGGACTCTCCGGAGGACTAGGAGGAGGAACTGGGACCCACGTAGCCAGTTTGACCAGTCAGGCTGAAGCTTGAAACCTCCTGACTTCAAGTTTGCCTGGTTCACATACCAGGTTAACCTTAATCCACTGCTGGATTGTAGTGGGAAACTGGTCCCAAAAAAATGATAAAGAATGTTACTGTAAAGGTTATCTACGAGGTAGGGGTGGGTTCAAAAAAGTTAGCGTCCAGTTCCAGAGTCCATAAGCAGCATTATATATAATTCTGGGAAGCAGCCACCATGCAAATATACTTTTTCGGAGTGTTTTAGCTAGTGGGTTTAACTGACAAGCCAAGGGTTAATAAACGAAAAAACATATCCTAAGGTAAATCGAGGTGCATGAAAGGGGGGGGCTCCCAAATATGATCCAACCACCGATCTTTGTGCCATGTTGAGCCATCAGTTTTCACCGGCGTCAGGCGTCACGTGAACTCTCTTGGACCTTCCGAAGTGCTAAACGAACGCGGCTTCTGAGGCCCTGTACAAGGCATGGAATTGGATGCAGCCGATCGTGGACCCGTCTGTACAACGGGGGAAGCTCGGCCAACGCACCGCAGTTGCTGTTCGACCCATGTGTTCGACGAACCAAACGAGCCGCAGAATCCACCGAAGGTTGTTGGTGCAAACGAAAGACCGACTCTGAGTCGCTTGTCTATGGACGTCTCCGGAACGGTGGGTGAATTCCACAGACTCTGGCAACGAATTCGGAATTCTGCAGCCTGGAAATACACCATCTCGCCTGGGCAGTCCGTTGGCAAAGTCTATACTCAAAGCCTTCGAAAGGAACACAAGTCTTCCGTGCAACCCTTTGGAACCTGGCCCTTTGGAACCCCGCGCTCGCGCCAAAACACCAAAAAACACCGGACGTTTGGACTGTCAACAACCCCCAGATTCTGTGTAATGTTGTCAGGAAGTAGGCATGAGGCGTGAGGCGATCTTCTCAAGGCCATGGATTGGATTGATGACTTCTTCCCTGAACAAATGGCCGTCCGGCCATTTGGAAGGTCACATGGCAGAAACCGCCCCAGCTGGTTGGGAAGGGAAGTCTCCCTTGTAAACCAGCTGGGAAACATGTGCACATCACCGGCTGGGAGTCATGATGAGTCACGGGCTTCTGGAAGGACAGAAGTGCGTGCAACATGCATGACTACATGTCTCACCAGGGTCCACAGTCAGCGTGATGAATGGACATCCCGGAATCACCTCTGTTCGGGCACGTTTCCTCCAAGATGGGGGTCCATATAAACCACCAAACTTGGGGTAACATGTGCCATCGAACCTCTGAAACCACTCCTGGTACCATCCTCGTGAACCTGCTAGTGAACCTCCATGTTTGTATGACCGGCCGGGAGTTGGACTGGATTCCCCACACCCTTTGCTTGCTTTTCCAACCTCACAGTGTCTCAAGCATCTTTACCCATGATGTGTGCGACATGTGTCTGATGTGTCGACGTCCATACAACCTGCCCAACAGGGCAAACGACCCAAAACTCGGGGGATTCATCAGCAGTCAACCGGGTGTGATTCTGTATGGAGACCAGTCTAGTTCCGTTCTTCCAGGGCTTGCAGGGGGTCGAACTGGAAGCCCTCCTTATCTTTGTACACACTCTGACGAGCTGTGCACATCTCCAACCTCCCAACGCTTGCCGATCGAGCTGATTAGGTGTCAATGCTTCAGCCGATGAAGCGCCAAGGAGCAGGCAGCAGAGCCAGGCAGTGCCGGTCCAATGCTTCAGCCTCAGAAGCCGATATTGATCCAACAAGGGACACATGGCTGTGAGGTTGGTCAAAACCTTCCCCAGTCAGTTGACACCCCTAGAGGAATCTGTTCATCTTCAGTCAACCGTCCGGGTGCCCTGGTGCTATGACCGCCGCTGTGGTGTACCGGTGGAAACCACGACCCAGGTGTCGATCGCGGAGCAAACCTCCAGGTTGAACGACCCCCCCCAAAAGAACCATCACCCAGCGCACTGCAGAACCAACACCAAACCCGGTGGTGTCCACGTCGTGCGAGACGGGGTCCAAAATTCGACGGAGAACGCCGATGGTCCGACCCCTCGCTGGTTTCCCCGCCTAGGGCGACGCACATCCGCACATGGCGTAGTGGTAGGGCTCGCTAGGCATCGCCTCCGGGCTGGGGGATCTGGACTAGTGACCTCTCACGGCAAGCCAATGTATACAACTCATTATACATCACATGTCACATTAAATAGTTGGATCATTTGATCAAATACCTGGGAGATGTACCAGTCAGGAAAGTTGGACCAGTCAGGAAAGTTGGACATCAACATCTGTACTAATCTATACCATGATTCTTGGGAACCTGGATTTTGTGCCGAGGGAAACTCTCTGGCTGATCTCTCTGTTGGAAGAATGTTCACAAGTCGAGGAGCGTGTGAACACGTCCAAAAGAACAAATTACGCAGTGGGCTTCACTCTCCGTTTTGGTCACTCGCTCTCAGGCGTCCTGGTCCGCCGGCAGAGGCAACGCCGGAAGTTCGGCGATGCGCGCACCTCAAGGTGACTGGCTTTTCGTGAAGTTGAGATGATGCTCTGCTGGTGGGGTGCTACTGATAAGTTTTGTTATTTTCCTCACCGGTGGTCCATGATTGATCTGATAGGAAACGTGACCTGTCCACTTTCCAGTTTCATCAAGTCACAGAATTGCAATGGCCAGACTGGACGTTTGAGATCTGCATGGCCGCCGGAATCGGATCTGAATCCTTTGTAATACCGGACTTGAGAGAGGAGGGGGTGAACGAAAGGTAGCAGGCAATCACAAGTAACCCTGGTAGAAGTCCACGACGGCGTGAACCGGCGCAGGGGGGATTTGATCCAGGGGGGGCCCCCCCCCCCGACGAACAGAATCAACTCTTACAGGACCAAATTCAATGCACAATCCCAACTCCTGATTGTAATACATTTTTGCTAAAGCAAGGAGAACTCAGGTAGCTCAAGCTACCTTTCGTGATCTGGGGCAGGACTTTTCGCCCATGGTCAATCGATGTAAATGTCACAGAAACCAGGGCTTGACAGACATGCCATGAAACCAAACAGTGCACCATGGGACGACAGCTTGTAAAGATACTGATACTTCTCGACACGCGATGTCCTTTGTCAGGCTGGCGGCTGAGTAAAGAGCATGCAGTTCTTAGAGGTCACTTCCAGGGGAAGGTGATTCGGATTCCAAAGAACACAAACCCCATCTCTGAAATAGAATGGAATAAAGGCCGCTGTGAATAATTCCATATAAATGCAATTCAATGCATGTCCATTTGTGTCTCGCGTCTAGCTTATAAAACGCACAAACATAGGAACTCCTCCAAGATCTTCCGCCCCTCCAAAAAAGACACCGTGAACCCGGAACCGTCCAAGATCTTCCCAGATTCATCAGCCCAACTTGCTAAGCAGCTCATTGACTCTCCTTTCTTCATGGTCTGTGCCAAGGGCTTCTGGAAGACGTCCGCCTCCAAATCGCCCGGGGGTTCCCACGTCCACGTCTCCGTCTCCCCGCAGCAAACGAGCCCCTTCCGGTGGTTTTGGGGCGGAACGCGAAGGGACTTCTTCGGACATTCTAAGAAGGGTGGTGGCTCCATAGGGCATGTCAACTCGCAATTTGGGAGAGTCTTGTTTGTTCAATGAGAGTCTGGCTTTTTCTGCTCCTCCATCAGATTGCTTCGCACTCATGACCTGCTATGCATATCAAAGTCTTCTCCAGCCTTTTAACGCTTCCACCAACTTCTTCCAACTTGGACTGATTCAAGACCACCATTTTGATACTTTTGCAACATCCCAGAGAACGTGTTCTCACAAAAAGTCGTACCTTAAATATATCCAAGTGCGTCAACCAGCCCAAACCCATACTACAGCCCAAACCAGCCAGGGATTGTTCGCCTACACACTCCTGAACAATACCCAAATACCATGTACTAATGGAACATATGCTTACAGTGACCGCTGAAACCACCCAAACGTAAGTAATTTTGCCATACATGGAGTGTCTAGGATATACAGCAAAGAACATCTATTGAAAACCAACAAGAGGGGTCTTAACGTCATGGTCGACCATCAGCAACCAATCGAGGACAGCGACTGTCGAACCCGACTCCGAATCTCCAATTCCGAAGTGAAGCACTAGTTCCAGCGCGCTCTATGCTCTTGCACCCACGACTCCTAACCCCTCCTAACCCCCCCCCCATCCCGCCCCGCGAGCGGGGCCGAACGAAATGTGGAGGCCACTGTAACGGACAGCTGGGCAGCCCACATACATGCTTTCCACACGCTGAACGAAGGTGTCCATGACACCTTCGGTCTCCATCCGAGCACCTCGGTCTAACGTCCAACGTCCCGTCCAGACGCGGCCTTTGAGGCTCTGAAGACCGGTGGGACGCCCTGAAGAGGGTGGTCTGAAATCAACATGATATAAGGTGGCTCCCCATGATGTCCCACCTGGGAAATAGAGGGGTCCAGTGCCAAACATCCATAAACCCAACATTGGTTGTACACTGGGGGGTGGGTCGCCTCTCTATTTATCAACCAACCAACGGTAAAGGGCCATCTATTTTGCCTGCCCCACAACCTACCGGATGAATTTGGGTATCATATGTCATATGGCACATTATGCTTCAAAATCCTTCCCATAAGTCATATATGTCGAACATCGAAAACATGAACAACAACAACAACAACAACAACTACTACTACTACTACTACTACTACAACACTACTTCTCAAAGAACCTGAAATTCACAAGTTCCAAATGTCTCTTCTTCATTTGGCTTCAACATCATGATTCTTTTGGGCTTCGCCACCTGCTGCACCACCTGAGTCTTCCACGTACCAGATCACCGGTGCCGCCCAGCATGGCCACGACCTCGTGCCGTAACGCCGACGCGATGGCCGCGGGTGACCGACGCACGGCTGGGCAACTGGGCAGAGCTGGTGAAGACGTCATTCTTGGAGCATGGCCGGTGTGGTATATATTCGGATTCATCAGGGTCATCCGAACAAAAACAAGCAATGTTCCAATCCACGTTGGCCCATGATTCCAGGGAGGTATTTGATTGACTTTTTTTTTGTGTTTTCTTGGAGTCTTTGTATTGTATAGTGTTTTGTTGGTGATACTTATAAAATAGAACGATCGGTGATGATCAAGGAACATGCTTGTGTGCGTGATAGGAATTTGACTGGACACATTGGTGATATCATCTGACATGGAGTTATGAGTGATGATGAATGCATTTGCGTCTTCGTGTCTTTGTCTGGAGATGCACTGCGACAGACTGTGACAGACCGTGACAGTTGTTTCAATGCACTGAGCTGCCACTGATGATTTGACTCATTTGACTCTGTTGAAGGAGCCGTAGCACAATGTGCTTGCCGAAATCACCAGCAGCGACATGAACCGGGATGTGTTTCATGAAGAATCACCAGCAGCGGCAAGAAGTTGGGTGATGCCACATCCTAAATATGTTGGGCTTGTTGGACCAAATCCATCGTCGTCAGCATCAAGTGAAATCATATCATAATAAGAATGTCAACCAACCTTGCTTCACCATCTTCACATGATTTCTGCTTTTTCTAGGCTATGGCATTTATGGCACAGCACCAAAGGGAACCCACACATCAAGCCGCTCTTGGCTCCGCACACTGGTGACCTTGGCATCCCATGTCACCATGGCTGCCACCTGGGCGTTGTCCAAAGTGTGGGTGAGCCGTCTGACACAAGCACAACTTGGGTTAAACATACCATAATGAGGTTGAGGCGTCCAAAACTTTCGAGGGTTCGTGCTTGGCTTATCTTGAGGTGTACATTTTGATGTGTATACGCGTATATACACAATCCGTTTGTCTTGGCTTTTGGATCACTTGGAGCAAATCTCTTTGTCTGTTAGCCGAGAAGAGGATCTGTGACCAACGTAGGTGACTAAAGAGAACTAACATGAACTAACTGCATGCAGGGTCTAGTTCAAGCTCTTGGCCAGCATACCGCTCAAAGGATGGCGTCCAGCCACGCATCCAAGGATCATCTGCGACACTCCCCTTCATTAAGTAAGAACAGGGACTATGACTATTCAAAAACATATGAGAAGCGGGATGAAGGATCCTCTGCAGCACGCATTAAAGGATCATCACGCACTCTTCGGGGGGAGTGGGTGGGCATACAATCACGTCATGCTTTGATACAATCGCCAGCCTTTGGGACCCAACACTTCTGTCTTCTAAGTCTCGCACAGAGGTGCCATTCTGCAAGAAGGATTCAATGCTGCCCAGAGCTGTTTGTGCGCGTGGCATGCGGAGCATGTGCTGGTACCTGCATTCACGCCGCAGCGATCTTGTGAAGATGGGGAGAAGCGTAGCGGAAGACACGAAATCTCTACATTGCAGGTGCCGTTCTGAGTTATGATTCTTGAAGGTCTTGGATGGTTTTGGTGTTCTCCATGTCTTGGGGCAAAAGTGAAAGACCAGAACCAGGCGTCGAAGCTTCAACAAAGGTTGTCGTATGGCACGTGCCTCAAATAGTGTTGAACCAAGCAACCATAGAAACAAACAAAACAACTACATCATCATATATCAATATCATTCAATATCACCCATACAAGGAGATGCCACCAAAAACACTCCACTTGAGCATGGCTTCCATGCAACACTTCTCCATACTTCCGGGAGCACCACGCTAAGCCTGCTGCCGGTTCCTTGGATGGGTCACACGCATGGTCGCAAGAGAGTTCGGTACACCCCAAGCTCCGCAATGGATGACATCATTGATGAAGATGGGGCCTGGTTGCAGGCCTTTCTGAAAATCGTGAGATTCTTTTTTGCTGACTGTGGCTGGCCATGGGAGACACCCTGGTGATGATGCCTTTTTCTTCAAAAGCTTTGGAGCACCAGATTGGTTCTACAGACCCTACTGTGGAGCCGTCAGTGACACCATCAGATTCGTATGTGGTCGACACCATCATCTTCATCTAATCATTTGACTCCGGGCCCAGGGCTGATCCACAAACGACAAAATAGAGATCTGGAGATGAGAGTGAAGATCCACATAATATGGTTCCTTACTTTAGCCTGTAGAGGGCCAGGGGGCCGCCCATGACCATCCCAAATAGGTTCCTATGACCGCAGATCTTGTCCTGCTCTATATACGATCGCCGACTCCAAAAGGGATCACTCTCCTTCCCCCAAACCATTCCAAGCGAAAAATCTTCGAGAACAAATTGGGCTAATTGGGGGTCCATGAACACTCTGACCACTTTCGAGGGCATAGCATCATCCCTTGCAAGATGACATTTCCTCATTAATATATCGGAGGAAACGTCATGAAAACATCCACTTCGATTCGTGATTCGCTGCTGATGTTATGAAACAGATGTCCATCGCTGGGTCCTTCGCTTCCCTTCGCTTCGCTGTCACCGGATTGTTTCGCATCACCCAGGGTCGATGAGGATCGCTGGAAAGGCGCCATAGGGCGTCAAGACGTGGTCCTGGTCGCCCCAAGGAAACCGGTCGGGAGACGCGAGCAGGATGAGTTCGGATCTGCAGAAGCGCCGATATGAGGCTGTTCCGGATATGTTCTGACCAATGTATTTTTCTACATGACCATACATGACCATACATCAAATATGTTGGACAAAAACAAGGCAAACATCAAGCCCAGCAAATGAACATGCAAAAGCAAGTTGGAGGCCATCGCTCTTAGGCTGGAGGCCATCGCTCTTGGGTTGGAGGCCATCGCTCTTATGTTGGAGGCCATCGCTCTTAGGTTGGAAGCCATTGCTCTTGGGTTGGAGACCATCGCTATTAGGTTGGAGGCCATAACCTTTACCAGTCAGCAATATTCGACTTTGTGTTGTTTTGTTTTTGCTTTAAAGCATAACTTGACTACTTCATTGTATGGCCCATGGGGAGAATAAGCTATGGCTATAGGGGTGGTGTTGATTCACAGAACAGGGAAAAAATGTCATGTACATATATATATATTATTACATATGTATATATATATATATTATGCCGGTGCCCGAACATGTTGGCTGCTAGGTCATCCCCGCCATTCTTAACTTATACAGAAATATCATGAAATACACTCCCTGAAACTGAAACAATCTTGAAAGTAGATGGCGTGGCCTGTTCGCCATTGATGACCAGCCATTCCGAATATTGGTATCAAACAGGTGGTGAACTCCGCTTCCATGTTACTTTTCCTCGGAGTGTGCATTCTTCACTCCTGTCCCTCCTTTGCGTCTGCGTGAACAAACATCGCATGCAACACTGACGTGAATTCTGGGAGCCTCCTCGCTGGGTCCCAACATGGGGGTTGCAAACCCCATGGTCCACATATGTCCCATCCTGAACTATCCCCAAATGTCAGCCATACCCGCCATGGCCCTTGAAAACAGATGACAGATCGTGTTCAAGTGGTACAAGTGAACACCCCTTTTTGGGCTCGTGGGCTCAGGCGGAAGAAAGATCGGCTCCTGATGAGTCCCATTCACATTCCAAGTCCTACTGAGTTCAATGGGTTGGGGCTTGACTGCACAAGCGAATGATGAACAGGCCCAAGCGATCGGAAAAGGCCCAAGCGATCGGAAAAGGCCCAAGCGATCGGAGGAGTCCGGACTTTCCACATCACCGTAACTGTCACGGCATGGGTTCACAAGAAAGCAAGAGGTTCACAAGAAACAGAACGTTCTTGAACGGCTGTCCTTTGTGAATTGCGATAGAATCAGGTAGGGAGCCACACACTCCTGGCCCTGGGAAACCCTGAGGCGCCCCAGCCGTCAGAATCGGCTGCTCTGCCAGAGACTGGCGAGAGATGGGCGGAGACACAGGTTACCACAAGTCAGTCTAGAGTCTAGGTCTAGATGCTAAACTAGAGTCTACAGTAGATCATCATCATCATCATCATCATCAGCAGCAGCAGCAGCAGCAGCAGCATCATCACCATCACCATCACCATCACCATCATCATCATCATCATCATCACCAATCATCGTCGGGGAAGAAGGATGCATCACCCCCCGGCATCGCGCACCGCCCCACTTCCCCAGTTTCAGGAAAGTCGCCTCATTTGCCTACGTCTTCCAACCCTCCGAATGGCACCCTAGAAAGTCGCCTCATTTGCCTACGTCTTCCAACCCTCCGAATGGCACCCTAAACCCTGCAACACTGACGGAGGCGAGGAAGGGAGATCTGCAAACGAACGACAAGGAAGACACGACAAGGTAGCCCAAGAGACCTGGACCAAAAACTATCCAGCAGTGAAACAGAAACAACGATTGGCTGATTGGCAATATGTGTTTAGCTTGTCAATCCAGGAAACTGGATGTCGCCAAAACTGGTTTTCATTCTGCGTCAGCTTCACTGATGGCCGGATTAGCAAGATCTTTGACAAACTGAACATAGATCCTCCACCAGTGAAACAAACATCAGCTGATTAGTATGGTCAGTAATTAGTCCAATAGATGCTAAGTGCTCAGTTAATTCTGTTCTGGGAAACGGATCACTTACATCTACAGTGTACATATATATAATTTATAATACTGTAGATGTGCAGCATTCACATAATAAATAAATATATGCATATATGCTAGCTAATATTACATGACATATATTAATATCTATATATGTGTATTCTCCACGTTCCTCTCCACGACGTGTGACTTCCAACACATCGACGTACTTCGGTGAACTTCCCAACATTTCGGGTGGTTTCATCCGGTCACCCAAAGCGCCTGGATACCAAGAGCGCTGCAGTACGCGCCTGAGGCGCTATCACAGTGGAAGCCTGGCGGCTCAATGACCAAGACGACAAGAACAACAAGAACAAAAACAAGAAGGACCAACGCGCAGGTGTCTGAGGCCGCTGAGGTAGCTCATCGAATTCTCTATGCGTTGCCAAGATTAGAGGAGCTCATGGATGTTAGAGGATGAAGGAGATATGTCTGACAGCTCGATAGCTTAACAAATGTTGGCTGGTTTACCTGGTAGCACTAATTATGTCCAATCAACAGTGTCAGGACTTGTTTCTGTCAACGCTTTGTCTCCTCTGCTGGTTGCTGTATTCAAAAAAACTGGCTACTAAAGCTTTGACAGTTCTGCTCTTGTGCGAGATAGACTTGTGAGGTGGAAAAGCTTTGCAACAAACCACTGCGCATGGCAAGCACCAGGATGCACCAGTCCACATATTGATTGACCATGTTTCCAACACTCAGGGAGCTTCGGATGTTCCCACCCGTTCCGGGCACCCGGTCACCGACGGCCTGTCGGTGCATTCACAGATGCCATGAGGCCGTTCCTCGGGTTAAAGGTGAAAAGGTGACACCTCGCTGCTAGGTGGAAGACCTCTTAGTTCCAGCCGCTGGGCTTTTCGGGACCATCCCATTTCTATCCATTTCTCCACTTATGTGGAGGCCATTCTTCTAGGTAGCCTTCTAGGTAGCTGCAACTATATACTTTTCTTGATGCGGCATTTCGGCGTCTCTTGAAGGATCAGCCCATCCCATCCGCCCATCCCACAGCCCGAAGCCAACGCATCCGTCTCTTCGACCCGGTTAGACCGGTCAGACCGGTCCCGGTTCCTCCGGTCGTTGAGCCCACCAGACTCATAGTGTTGGCTGGTTAGAAGATGTTGGTGTTCCCAACGAAGAAAGAAACGTGAAAGAAACATGGGTCAAGATTCAAGTTCTTCACCACAGAGAAGGTCAGGCGCGCCATCTCTCCGTTCCGGAAGAGATGATGCACCTAGGCAGCGATGTGAGCAGACGTCGGCCACATCAGGGAGGGATGAAGTTTCTACACTAGGGTTCTTGAGTCATCATACAATGAATGATAGAATGTGCACTCAATAGTTAGTCAATACTAAAGATTTTCTTACTAGTTCAAGGTTTATCAGATCATCATATTCACTATATTTCACTGTAATGATCAATAACCAAGTTGTATCTTCTGCTTTATTACAAAACTCACGAATACAGGTGTCATCCTTGCATCAATGCAAGAACTGCCTATGAAAACACGCGTGATCACGCGGCAGACCGTGCAGAAATCCGCGACGATCGGTTCTTTCGCATCTGGTGCGATCAGTGATCATCCAGGAGTCCCCTGCCAATGGAATCTGCAAGTAAGGCAGCTGAAGGGTCTTCCATTGCTCATGCGCGGAGAACCTCAGCTGACTGAGACTACCCGCGCAAAGGACCGGAGAACCGGGATCTGCCGTCGTGGAGCGAGGGGCATCAAGTTGTGATGCACAGGAGTGACTCTCTTGCGGTCCAAATCAGTCCTTTAGACACTCTAGAAACAGACACCCAAGCTAGCTAGAGCTCCATCTACCTTCTGAGAAGGTTGTTGGGGTGGGTTTGGAGGATCTAGCTACCTTCCGAGGATATGGTGGGAGCCCCAGGACGACTTACAGTATGTGTCATGTGAGTCATGTGTGGGCCAAGTCTCGGTAGGCATGAGGGGCTCACTCTGCTCCTGTCCCCTCCATCACCTCCAAGGGACCAAAAGCCCTCCTGGATCACATAGGTATTGTTGCTCTCATTGTAGAGAACTGGATCCACCTTACCGAGGTGGAAAGCCCAGTCGAAGTCGAACCAGTACTCCGCGTGCGAAGGCTGGCTGTTGGCACTTTGGGAGAAGGTACGTCTGTGAAAGCGGACGTGTGAATGGTCGTTTCAGCTGGTCTTCATTTACACCCAAACCAAGCAAGCAGAATCTGATGGTTGTCAATGAATGTAAAGCTCCAATTTGTGTCCGCTTTTCAAATCTGGACGGAATGGTTGACATTGGTTGTGACAACTAAACTACACAGTTCTACCTAGATCTGTCATGTGAGCAAGATCTGCGCCACGGAGTGTCCATCTTCTTGCCTGGTTGTTGCGATATGCGCCACGGGTAGTAAAACCGTTGAGATACACCGAAACACCCGGCTGAAACTTGACAACACCCATGCAGCCAGCACACGTGCTGCGCTTTGATGTTCCAAATCTTGTCCTTCTCCGCCTCGCGGCAAGGTCGACCACCAGGCCCCTCTTCGGTCCCATTGGCTTTGATGTTCAAGATCCCCCCTCCCACATTTCCACAGGTTCGTCCAAATGTGCAAGGCAGTAAGCGATTCGAAGTGTGTTCCTCCCAAGCCTTGGACCCCCTGACCGTCACCCCTGGGGAAAGGGGGGGCCATGCCCAGCGTGTCCGCTCTCTCGTCGCCGGATGGGTCACACACTGCCCGGTCGCGTCACCGGTCATGTGCGCCCGGTCGCAGGTCGGAGTCGACACAACCAGTTTCTGGAGGATGCCAAAGGTGAGAAGCACCCCAGAGCTTTTTCTGGTTCATGTTACGTGAAGAGAATCAACATGAATCAACTAAGGTGATAAATCGTCTGGAAAACTTTGCCAACATGATCTTCACTTCTCTATGGTTCTATCAAAAGTTCCACTGGAGGACCAACAGCACCAGGCCGGGCTACTCCGCCCATGTTGCGGCCACTTGAGACCACCCACACCTGCCTGGGGGTCGGTGTAGTTGCTCCAATTCCCCATGAGGTCAATGAAGAGAACAACCCTTGGAACAAACGCGGACATGTTGCGAACTGGAGGCCTACTCATCATGTGTGAAGTATACAGGTCTACAGCTTGGTTAGAAGACGGTAGAAGAAATTCCGGGTTGCCGTCTTTGCGGGAAGTCCAAAGCAAATCCTGCATGAGGGCTTGACTTCAAAGTGGGACGCGTGCTCCCAAGCTTGTCCCAACGGACTTGCAACCAACTGAAACAAAAACCATACGCAGTCAGTGCTCCATCCACAGTCACAAATCCCCACTAGTCACAGATTGGCTGAGGCGCATCTCACCTTCGAACGGATCCCAAAGCACCTGGGGCTGTTTTGGAAGAAAAACAAACACGTCGCACACACCGCGAACCGGCGGGGTTGGAGCACGATCAGGGAGGAGTGGACACTGGGATGGTGTCCATTCTTGGGTTGATTCCTTCTGTCGGCAATGCACTTGTTACTACTAGTAGCTTCTTAATTGCTACTAGTATGGCCAGGAGCTACTGATAGCTTCTTGCTCCTAGTAGCGATGCCCTTTGTTACTAGCTCTTTTTTGGTTCAGAGCTCAGGCCATGAGATGTGCCACAGGCCGTGGAACTTCGTACTTCGGATCTGCCCGACTCTGCCGACGATCACCGGTGCTGGAGTCTCCCCGCTCGTGCCGCAGGTTTTTCCACTGGGAACGAACCAGAAACACGAACAAGCAACGGTGGCCGGCCGGACGGAGCCAACACAAAGGACCAGAACAAGTTCCAATCTTCACCAAAATACAATAGTTGCTTTGCTTCAGAATGGAACCTCAGGTTTGGTCCACTCCATGCCAGCCACCTGCAGCCATCACGTCCCAATTCCCTCGCACCGCCCGTGTCATCCCAATTCCCTTCCGCACGTAGTTCTCTGCATTGTAGGCATTGGTGGAATTGTTGGCGGCCTCGGAGCCACGGTTGGTTTTTGCGAATCAGCACCTGCACCTGCACCTGGCACAGACCTCACGGTAACTAGCTGGACCATCCTGTCTGGGTGTCCAATGGAGATTCCTAAGGAGTGTAGGGAAACTATAGTCCATTGGACACCCAGACAGGATGGTTCTGAGATCTTTTGTATTTGAATCATAGAACTCTCAGCCGATGTAGCCCAAAACAGAGAAAAGCCGGGGTGACTGAGTCTCGCTATGCTTGTGTGGCCAAACTGGCCAGCCCGACCTTCGCTCGCTCGCGACTTGCTCTCGGTCTCCCACATCCACGCTGGCATTCTTGATCGTGGCGATGGCACGGACCTACGGATCGCACGGGCTGGCAAATCCCCTTAACAACAACGAAGATGATGGGAACTCAGTTTACATCCTCTAATACGCCATCAAAGCAAAGTCCTTTTACAGATTGACTGCCCAGAAAGGACCAATTAGAATCAGTTATTGAGACTTCTGCTTTCCTTGAGACAAATATGGTCCTTTCCCTCTGCGACTGGGACTTCGACAGTGCCGGTGCCCGGGCCGTCGTAGAAGAGGTTCACAGCAGTGGCCTGTGGAGAAGGACCACCTTCAGGTGATGATTGGAGTAATCCCATCTCAGAGCCTTACTAAGGCCTGAATGAAGCGTGCGAAGGGCCTGAAAACCCGAGTCAAATGCCGAATGATGATCTCTACTATCTTTGCTACTAGATTCCAGATGCTACTAGTGAGGGGACAAATCCAAGGCACGACATATTTTACAGGGCACATTACAGGATCGTTTAAGGGACATTGAAGCTCTGTGGACTTGTGACTAGTGAGGTGCCTAAGTTGACCTTTCCTTTCACAGAATCGATTGTGTCTGGAACACCGTTTCAGATGGTTCATGGGAAACTGGATACTCACATCCCAAGCCATCCGAAGGGCCGAAGGGAAGCAAGCAAGCCAAAAATAACAGCGCCTTCAAGCAATCCATCGGATGCTTTATAATGCTTTGGGTGAACAACGGTTGTGAGTGCGCTGGAAGGTCCAAACATACTACATATATATATATATATTTGTAATAACAATATAATATATAATATATTATTAAAATACAAGGACTCACAAAGAGGTGGTTCTTAGTCACATCCAGTGACAAAATGTGACGATGTCACACCCTTCTCCTCCAATCATCGGCACCCCTATCCTCCCATGACTCCTGGTAGACATGATACACTCTTCCAGATATACGTGTCCCGGGGTGCATTTGGGACTAGTCCCTAACATGTTCAGCTCTAGAGCGGTATTTCCCGGGGAATAACCGGAGAAAACGGTATCATAATGATTTTGAACATGGCCCAACATGCCTCGAAAAACTGCTAACCTGTCCCATCCCAGAAGAGATGCCCACTTTTGGAGCGGGCTATGTTAGCCTTTTTGGGGGCAAAATCTCAATGGTTCTGAAATTCGTGAACGGACATGTTAGCGTGGTCCGTGCAAACATGTCCACCAAGACACCAAAGCAAGGGCAGTCGCAGGCCATGTTAACTAACCATGGCGTCCCTGATTTTTTTCCGCAGACTGCTCTGACTGCTCTGGTCTTTCCCTGTTGGATCCCCTGGGTTTGTTCTGCTTGGTGCACGTGCCGTCACGTGCCAACGCTCAGTATCCCACACCAAGATTCAGATTTTTTCATAATGATTTTAGTCTAGATCCCCAGGATCACATTGCCAGCCAATGACCTCTAAGCAGCTAACCTGTCCAAATCACATGTTTGGAAAAACAACTTTTGCATCGCTAACGTGTCCTGTTCCTGGATCTGACAACTAACTTAACCAAAAAAAATAAATAAAAGCCTTTAAAAGGATACGTAAAAAACCGGGAGAGTATACAAATGAATCGCATCTTGTGCGTCCACCCATCCGTTCCACCCGTCTCCCCAGTCTCTCCGCGCCCGCATGCGCTTCAGGCGGTTTTCCCAGCGCTGAGCCAGGGTAGAAATCCGACCTGAAGTGAAATCTGACTGCGACCCAAATCAAAGGTGGGGATGGGTGGTTCCAGTGATTCCCAAGAGTGTTTTACCTGAGATTTCATGTGGTTGCATCAATCACCCAGGCTGGATTCCCGGCTGGGTGGCTCTTCTTCAAAGATATACATCTACTTTTGTACAATTTAAAAGAACGTTGAAGATGATGGAAATGAGGGAGCCCCCGCATCTGTGTTTTAGTCACATGGTTTCTTTTCCCACTGGTCGAGCAATCACAAACAGTTGCTGCTGAAAGAACCTGACTCTTTTTCTTTGTAGATGTTGATAGTGAACTTCCCACTTTCAAATCGCCCCAAAGCCAACTTTCACTTCCCTCGTATGAGGACATGTGTCCAGGTTCGTGACCTAAGCATTCACTGTGAGCTTCATGTCCCCATCCGATTGTTGATTATATGAATGCCTAGAGGTCAGTCAGATATGACTCACCGGTTTGATAAGAAAATAACCTATGTTTTGGATATGTTTGGTGGTCCAAAACCAAGGTCACGAAAAGCCAACCTGGGCTAGTGCCCCGGTTGGGGCGCACCTCCTCTGCCCGATTCCCATCTGAGCCACTGCTTTCAGAGCTCCGCTTCTGCAGCACTTGGACCTGCCAATGGCCCCAAGAGACGAACTCCCCAAGACAGGCCTCAAAGGTTATGGTCCACATCTTTAGACAGTCTATGCAGAGTCTTAGGAGAGAAACACAGAGAATGAGTGAACTATGAACCAATCATGCCCCTGTGTTTTGAGAGGAAAGAAACACATCTTATATAATTTTGTGTGGTTAAGTTGGTGATCCCAAATAAAGGTCACATAAAGATTAGCGGTTTAATGGAGACAATTTATAGTAACTTAATCATTGAACCTCCACGACCTGCATAGGTCGCTATTCCCTTTTTGGATGTCTCAGCCCTCTCAGCCACTCTCCTGTTCTTCCGTTCCTCTCTCCGTTCCACCCTCGAACCCAGCGGATGGGAACGGCCGGCTTCATCCCCCGCACCAGAGCAACTGCTGCCCAGGCCATCTGCCCATTGTCCAAAGCGGGCACACCTTGGTCCACCAGTGCTCAGGGCTGCGACAGAGCAAGGTGCCCTAGGAGGTGAAGCTTGCGATCGGCTGCTTGACGATTCTACGATCGGCTCCATGATGTGGAAGCATCCCTCAGTTATTTTGCAGCTGTTCCTCTGTATAGTCGGGAAACCAACATATCCGACGACAAAAGTTGATTTGCCACTTGAATCCACTCACCTGAGGATGTTCCCGGTCCGACCAGTGTGGAAACAACTCAGCCACGCCTCCTCAGAACCTCCCGTGGCTCCGAACCCCCCCATCCTCCCCAACCCCCAAACCGCCATTCGCCTCGCATCTCGCCAAGGCGCTGAGCACGGAGGCGGAGTCCACTTTGGGTTCAATGAAGGTGAAGGTCTCGTTGAGGCCTCCAAACCAGGCCGCCAAAACACCCGGAGCGAGCAAGGCGGAGCCCTCGCAGTCTTCACTGTTGAGTCGTCAGCCGACACGGTCGGCGTAGACTTCGGTGCGTTGACTTCGGAGCTCGCGAACGCTGGCATTTCAGATGGGGGTCACAGTGGAGGTGAAGGGAGATGGCGATGAAGGGAGATGAGGTCAGCCATCTTCAGCCATGTGGTTATGTTATGTCATGTTCCTTTTTGGGATGTGTTTGAAGGTTGTCTGACTCGCAGGGCCTGAAGTTCGGAGCTTGCACATCCATGCATGTTATACCTAGATGTTCTAAAAGACTGTAATGTTTGCCTTTTCTTGGAAATCGGGCTTTTTACGAAAAAGGCAGAAAAAACGCCCTCGGGCGGATCTTCCAAATCAGGTGGTTTCAACGAGGAGCCGTAATTTGCAAACTGCAAAGCTCAAACAGGTCTACATGTAAAACAATATAGAGAATTTCTGGGGTTTCAAAAACGCAAAACTTCCCGGCATTCGGGCGGAACTTCCCGGCATTCGGGCGGATTTACCCGAACACCCTGTTTTGTAATATGTTGTAATCATGATTCATGACTTTTTTTGGCACTGATGTTGCGTTTTACAAATTCTGAATTTCTGCAACTGCCTTCGGGCAGAAATTTATGCCTCAGGCGGAAACCTGAGATTCGGGCAGAAAAAGCAGCCTGAAACCATTCGGGCAGAAATATACCGGAATGCAGGTCGTATTTCTCCAAATACATCGAGCTTTTGATTCATTTGATAGTTAAAGTTACAGTTATATAGTTTTTTCGACGCATGGAGATATGACCGTCTTGCACATGAGGCCTCTCCCCACCAGGTTGTGTCCTCCACATCCTCCAGAGCCATTCATGGATGTGGAAATATGGACCCCCCTGAGAGATCCTTTTCCTCTCCATGCATGGCTTCTTCCAATTTCATGGTGCGACTATGTGCGACTTTGAGATGTGTCTCTTGGGAACGCATTCTTCCTTCGTTTCCGGAATCATGGAAACCGGTCTAGTCCTTTGTTTCTCTGCAAAGAGTGGAACAATACGACACATCTCCACCCTCTGCACCTTTGCAGCTGCCATTGCTGATGCCACGAGAACAGAACCTCATACTGGCTGAACATTCGGCAGCTGGCCGGAATCGGGTGGTGGAGTGGCATGGCTAAACAGTTGGTACATGTCAGGATTACTGTATGTGTTCACCATGCTTCCGGACCCCCCAATATGCAGAAGTCCGGATGTCAAGACATGTCCTTTATGATCTTGACATGTTGCACCCAAAGCTGTTTGTCTATGACTGACTTTCACCTCTAGGACCGGCTGCCGGAGACGTCGTTGGCCCTCAACCGCATCCAACGGGCAGGTGGGATCAATCCGCATCCAACGGGCGCGACACGGCTGGTGAGGCCCTTGCCAGGTTGGACGAAAGCCTTCTCTCTACGACTGCGAGGCGGGCGCTTTGGCGACATGCCAGTTTCGTGACAGAAATGAAAAAGTAGAACATACCAGGTCCATTCAGGTCCTGTCTGGGTGTCCGAGACGTCCTAGTTAGAGATGTCCAGACAGGACACCCACAGGATGGTCCAGGTATGAGAGACGCGGCTCTGATCTTTGACGACACGTTGGCCCTGGGCCGTCGACGACACGTTGTGTGGCCACTCTTTTTCGAACGGTACCGGGTGCCAACGTCTCTACCGTCGCATCTGGGGTCTACGCTTTGGGAAACTGCAACAAAGCGTAGAATGATAGCTATAAGAGAAACATGATACCTCCAAGTCAATGACCTTGTTAAACTTGTTCATGATGAACACTATTAAAGTTTAAATCTATTAAACATGTCGAAACTAGCTTTACTTGGACCCATTAAAACAAAAAATAGTTTTCATGACCTCTTCAGGTGGTTTGGAAGGGAATCAAAGGCAATGTTGAGTGCTTTGAGGCTCATTTTTCGACATTAATAAGAGCAAAGAGGTCGGAATTGTGGGCCAACTATTTAGCGTAACAGGAGTGTAACTGGAGCGTAACAGGTGTTTAGTATGTGCTTAGTCCCCTTTATGTTTGCAATATATAAGGACATATTGACCATGTTGTTTGTGATATTGCGATTTTTGACAGTTGTTTTTGCTGCACTCTTGCAGCAGTGTGGTGATGTTGAACTTGCTTGGATAGAAGGACGTGAGTTCCGACAAACAAAAGGTACTCGTAAAATTTGTTCTTTCGAACAGTACTCGTTTGAACTTGCGCTTGGGACTTGCAGGGAATGATAATATCTTACCATATGTATCCATATGTTGCATTGCTAGGCAGGATAAAGTCCAAACTGTATAAATCGCATGTCTATCTGATTCTATCTGATCCTTTCGTCCTTGATCGTTGACCAGTGACGCCCCGCTCTACCCTCCTCGCCCAAAACCTACTGTACTATCTACGCAACCCTGGACCGGTGGCGCCGGACGCCGCGACGTCCACCGCGTGTTCTCGGTCCAGGTCGCCAGGGGAGGAAGCCGCCACAGGCAGGGAAGCGTCGATCGAAGTCCTCCATGGAACTCACCTCACCGACCGTTCCGGTTGCGGCCCCCGCCGCGGAGTCCCCGTCGTGCCCCGTTCGGCGCGAGCGCGGCATGGGTGGGTGGTCACACGAAGTCCCCCGCGCCGGGGGCGATGTGTTGGGGTGCACTGCCCGCGTGACGCACCGCTGCGAAGGATGCAGTTTGCATGGATCCTGCGTCCGTTGAATTTGGTTGGTCAGGTGCTGGAGCAATGTGTGGACTGTGAAGAGGAAACATCTGCACAAAGGATAGTAGGTAGCAAACCTAGCAAATTCTGGCGTTTCTGTGTTGTTCATTACTCTTGAATGATGGATTTCTTCATTGTCATCTTTGGTGATGTCAAAAATCATATCCCGAAATCGGAGGCCACCCGCCCTCTCCGACCCGCCCTGTTCGACCCACCTTCTTCTCCAAGATCTCCAAGGCCTGAGCGCTGCCCACCCGGCCACCAGAGACTGCGCCGCCGACCACGGAAAACCGCGCCGACGTGCCACGCGTGCCTCATCCATGCTGTAGACCAAGGGCAGCAACTCCCGACGCCTCGGCATGGACGTCGGAGCGTCGTCCGCGCCGCACCGAAAGCGTCGAACCGGCGGAGTGGAGGCGCCGAGAAGTGAAAAGGGTTTGGGAGGCCTACCTAGGGCGGGTTTGGTGAACCATCTCAATCGGTTTGGGCCTTCCTGGACTGTGATCCTTTTGAACGAACATCCGTTCGTGCCACGGACGCCACGCCACGGACGCGCCGCGCGCCCTGGTGGGTTAAGAAGACAGAAATGGGATGGACGTTGGCCGGACCAACAACGCCAAAGGGGAAAAAACACGGTCAGAAAGACACATGTAGCGCTTCAAGGCTTTCCCTGGTGCTTTCTGAGACTCTTTTGGGTCATGTGATCGGAAAGAGGAACAACCCCAACGATGCTGCTCTAAGCACCAGTGGGAGAGCTCCAGAAAGGTGAAAATTACAAACAACACCAAAAGAGCGATCAAAGACTTGGCAGAATCAATCCAAGCAAAACCTTCCCATGTGAATGTCCGGCCTCATGTCTGGCCTCGTTCATGTCTTCGTGTCTGGCCTTGCTCCTTCACAGCGAGTACATCTACCCGATGCAGCGCAGTACCACTGAGGCCCTGACTCCTCGTCCACATCCTGTGGGCAAAAACCGTACGGATTGGAAACCGTACCCTCTTTTGCAGGTTCTCATGTCAAATTCATTGGTAAACGCAGTGCTTTGTCATGCGTTTTGCCTAAATAAAAAACGTCCTTTTCGCGACGCCTCAAGTTGCCTGCTTTTTGTGTAACTAGCTGTCCCCAGGCAGGCTCCGTGTGCAAGTCATTTTCATCGATGCCATTGTCGAGCAAATCAGCGGCGGCGCACCCATCCGACATGGAGCTGATACAACTACGCAACAAATGCCAACTCAACATCAACAGTCACCAACAGAAAAGGACTTAGTTTCTGTTTTTCGAAAAAGAAAACCTCAACCACACATTGCACCAAAGTGAGAACAACGAAAAACGAGTTTCTAACACCTGCTCCCAGTTTACCCAGCCACGATCTGAACCCAAACCTGTTTCGTGAACAAAAGAAACTCAAGGGACAGAACAATCACGAGTTAAGCCGTCTACGTACTGGTCTAAAGAAAAAGGGCTGACGCACCACAAAGGAAGAAAACACAAAAACGAGGAGGACAAGGAACACCCGACAACCGAAACAACAAAACTAAAGCGCACACCGTGGCTACGTCTTGAGCCTTCGCGCTCATGAGACGTATGTGAAAACAACGAAATTACAGCGCCCCCCCCCTGTTTTCTGTTTTTGGGCCCCCGTTTACGCTATTGCTTCAACTTGGTTACAGTATCTTGCGATATGCTCTTACGCAATGCATTGACATGCCATAACATTTGGCTCAAGGTATGTGAGTGTGAAAACAGCCGCTCGATCGCCTTCGCCCACTCGCTCTTGTGAACCTTGTTGGACTGTGAGTTGAATCCAGGGATACTATGCATTACACGCTCCACTGCGGGGAATTTGATCCTCACCCCACCCTCCCACCCCCCCAACACCATGCGATGACATGACCGAGCGTCGTGGAGTCCAAAAATGTCAGAAAAGTGGGTCCGGTTTTCAGTCCCTAGGCAAAAACAAGGACAAGAAAACAACAATGCATGTACCGAATTGAATATCATGACAGAGCAATCCTGTGGCCTTCAGAGCATGTTGTGATCTTCATGGATTGCTCTGAAGCTCCCCAGGTGCATCTACTGGTGCATCTATGCACCAGACCACCTCTGTCTTTACAAAGACCACATGGATGACAGGCCATGGACCTGGGCACCCTTCAACGGCTGCTGCCGCTGGCGGCGGCTTTCTGGTGGAGCTTCAAGACAATGTCCGCTATCACAGCCTTCCAAGCTATCGCCTAATACCGAGGGAAGCAAACTCGTGACCCGAAGGATGAACATGTTTCCCAGTTCCTGCCTGAGGCGGCTGCAAGGCAATGGCCAACAAACTCAAGTGCAAAGCCCTGGTGTGCCGGCCGTTGTTCTTCGTCTTCCGTCGGAAAGCGGTCGGTCGGCCGGCCGCCAAAGGGTAATAATGAGTTCATTGCCATGTTTGACACCACTGAAGTCAAGAGAAGTCTAGGGATCCAAGTACAAGGACCTTCGAAGGTAATTGTACCCTCCAAAGCTACATAACAGTGTCTCCAATCACCGTACCTCAGAGGCCAAGTGGATCCGGGTGACACGCCGGAAAAGAGCGCCATTCCAACGGGTATGTGCTCCGGCAGTGGAGTTGAAAACGTTCCCAGGCGAGAAACAACCTCATACACCCTATATAAACACATGTTGTGCCATGGGTTGTGCAGGTTCGTCTGATGTTCATACCTTTTCAAAGGTATAACCCCTCACAAAAAATGTTGAGGCTGCACACAGGTGCACCAAAAGAGGGACTTGCTGCATATATGAATTCAAACACAAGGACAGGATGAATCTTGATCTGGGAAGAACACTTCGATTAAAAAAGATCCAACATCCCTCTGTTCAAAATGGGTCATGAATCACCCAAATGATCTTACATCTCGCTGTGTGGGCGTGTTGTGCTTTCCAGCAACTTCTAATCCATGTGTGTGATGTTGGTTCTTCAGTTGCTATGACAGCTATGATGCATATTGACGCTTCTATCATGATATCATATCATATTGTTCTTCCAAACAGGGCAACCTCTGCAGCCTTCCCTTCCCTTCCCTCCTTGGGGCCCCCTGACTCCTTGGAGGCCGCAGAAAAAACCCGCAAGCCGTCGGACCTGGGCGACCACAGACCGGATGGTGGGGGCGGACAGCCTGGAGCCTGGAGCTAAGGGCTGGCCCATAAATCGATGTCATTATATACATTGCCAGGACCGTCCAAGGGGTGGTTAATGGACACCCCTGAACAGCTAAAGGGGATATAAAGTATACAAACATTACATACATGTGTATGATTCTGTATGATTATATAATATATACACACATGTTGCTGCTATGACGTAGTTGGATAGAACTATGACCCAACCCACTGTTTCGTTGAAGTAACTTGGAGGGCTACGTACTACTACTGTGTAAATGAGGTGAACCAGGTACTCCTGCGCAAATCATCCTAAGTGTATCATGTCTGCTTGACAATCAAGATTTGGCCATCAAAGTGGCCAGTGAACAGCTTTTGTTCCACCCCCATCTATTCTACCTCCATTAGATCTCCGGCAACCGTGTATTCCCTTCTGCGCGGAATGCACCAGCGTTTTTGCTTCCAACGCCGTGCGTTTCACTGGCTCAACTGGTCCGGGAAATCGCTGCCTGCCGGCGACGATGGCGGGTGGTCTGTGGCAGCCGGGTGGTGTGGTCTCCTGCGGCAGCATGCGGGGTCATTTGGTGTGTCACTTGTGTTCTCTTCACTAAGATCAATGACATCATTCCAATAAAAACAGGGGGAATGATGTTGTTCAGGATTGTGAAGGGCGTTGAGAAAAGCTTATCATCAAGCGTTCAGGGCTCTCAATTGGAGACACTCTTACTGATGAACCCATCCATTTACTTGTGATAGTTTGCTGATGATGTTTCTGGAAGATGGACACATATATATATATATATATATATATAATATTATTCATAAATAAATAATCTATCTTTGTCCGGGATGTAATCTGTTGTCCAAGGGTTTTGGTGCTTTAAAATGCACCGCTAGTATCAACTAAAATATGCTGCTATATGTATTCTGTGTCAGCCCCATAAACTCGTCTCACCATGAAAGGTCATCAACATGAAAGGCTTCATCTCTTCCTTTTTTTGGATTCTCTGCCTCGACTCCCATAGATGCCTCTACTGAGCTACCCACAAGTTCTTAGCCCTTGTCGCTTTTTGAGGTGGATCTGGATCCAAAGTTCACTCATGCCAGCCCCACAATGTTGTTCATCTCACCGAAAATCGCATGCGTTCCATGACATCGACTCTTCATTTCAGAGGTTCGATGGTGCCAGTCCACCCCAAGAATGTCTTAGACAATTGGGGGTCCACTACTAAACCACCGAACTTGCGGCCTCACTTGTGCCATTTTTCTCCTCTGAAACCACCGGTCACAGGGGCGTCCCAGACGCTCATCGCCTTGCTCAGTCTTCATCGCCTCCAACGTTTCGAGACGAGACGTACGACGCGACGTCAATCGTCATCCGCCGGCGGCCCCGAGACGTGGTCGATGCCAAAGAGGAAATGCCTCTTTTTGTGTCGTATACACTATGATGTAGTATGACTAGTTCCAAACCTTGTTATGTTATATTACTATATCTTCGTTCTATGGTCTATGGACCAGATTTGGGGGCATTTCATAGGCTTTTCGTTTGAATGAGACCTGCTAGGCTAACCCCACACATGTCTCATGAGGCGATCTCTAGTGGATTGAGAGTAGATGACACGTTTCCCCATGTTTCTTGCTACTAAGTACTTGCAATGGCCTCCACTGAGCATAGCGTCCGAACGCTACGACAGGAGTCTCCAGGAATGACGAAGTCATCAGCTACGGGTCTTCAACTGTTCAACTTGATCCAATGAGGAAGACCAAGCATCAAGGTCGGCCACATTCCAATCGATTTCATGATTCGATCTTCAAAGAACACATCGATCTTCATGGTGGCACAGTGAAACTCTGAAACCTGGTCAAACTGGGACGCTCAACCTATCTCAAGCTCCTCCGAGTTTCCTTGTCTTCTTCAACAAACACACCTAAACCATACTCCAAAATCTCCAAACCCAGCCACCTTCCACCACCAAAGCAACTGGTCACCCCCCAAGACATCCTCCAACCCCCCCCCCTCCAGGACCTCGCGAGCCGCGCTCGCCTGCGGCCACCACGTCGGCCGTCAAGGTGTTCATGGCCTCCTCGGCCTCCGGACGCATCATCTCCACTCCCATGTCGTCACCTGAGACGCCGACGCTCCGCCGGTTCGAGCCGCTTCGCGGCCCGGACGAGGCCGTCGGGGCCTGAGGGCAGGGGGAGAAGTCGGAGTGACAAGGAAAAGCAGGGAACATCAGGGAACATAGTGGACAGAATGGCCTCACCGCAAGGATCCAAAGGGGATAGGATTATCTCGTGTAGCTCCCACCTAGATTCCCACAGGCCACCCATGTGTGGATTCCAAAGAAGGTGACCCACTCTGCGGTATTTGGACAATCAATCAAACTGGAGTTTTCTCAGAATCAGCCTTCACACAATATTGAAGACCGGCAAAGTACAGTATATAATGAGAGCAAAAACATGAACATGTTTCTTCTGTCCAGTAGGATGTTGGTTGGTATCATAGTTGGTATCCTAAATCAATGAACAAAACTAATACAAAACACATTATGTTTTAACCGAATCTGTCACCTATTGAACCCAACTTCTTCCACACATTTCTACACACACACACATACGGCCGGCCGACCCTAAATCTTTTGATTCTTTCTTTCAGCCCCTCCTTCCTCCTCAATCACCTCCTCAACATCCTCCTTGCTGCCTCCAAGGTGCCGCCATCGCCATGAAGCTCCATGAGCTTGGTGATGTCGAACTTGGGCTTCTTCAAGATCTTCACCTCATGTATGTCAATCCTAACCTCCCCAAACCGTGGATGATGGGCCTGCAACCATCAGGCCTGCAACCATCTCTTTCCAATCCTGATGCTTCCTTCTTTTACAAGACATCTTCACAAACTAGGACAGTCAAACAAGCAAATCTTCACCTCCAATTGACTGACTTCTAACAAAATCGGACAGACAAACAAGCAAATCTTCACTGCTTCTACTGACCTCTAACAAAATAGGACAGACCCCCCAAAAATCTTCACCTCTTTGTTGGGGAAACATCTCTGACTGACCGCTTTGGTCTCCACCTTCGGTCCGGCCCACCGGTGACGAACACGATGCTGACACGAGAGCAGCAGCGGTTTCGGGGCACACGGCGGCACACACGGCGGCACACGAAACGCACGCGGCGTGGATGGATGGCATCTCCCCAAAAACGGACCGAGGTGCGGCTGACGACGTAACGTTGGGGCGCGCTTTGTTGGGTTCAGCTTGCTTTGTAGTGGCGATGGTCATGACTTTTTAGGACGCGTTTTCAAGGTTGACCAGTCACCATGAGTCCCGGCTAGTCACGTTGAGTCGCGGTCGTGATTTTGGATCAGCAGATCAGGAGAAAAGTGCTGGTGAACCTATAGTGGATTGAGAGTAGATGGCACAGACCACTGTAGTATAGGTGGTTTAGTATGGTTTAGTAATAGTCGTGGATCCCCATCTGTTCCGGACATTGTCTGAGTCTGTGCCATCGAACTTCTGATGGCCCACTGTAGTACCGAGTTTAGGAGTCAATCCCCTTAGATCGGAGATCTTCGGACCCATGCGACCCAGGAGTGCGTCCAATCCAGGAGGAAGACGGGGTGTCCAGTGCCGAACGGAAGGGACTGGAGGATTTAGGGGTGCCCCGGGCGACACCTTCACAGCCCCTGAGATGGGACGAACCAACCCCACCCAGTCGAAGGTGACTCCGGATCTTCATGGTGAGTCAAACTCATTGGGTTTCTCGTTTCTCGGCGCCCGCCAAAACCGCCCCAACACCCCCACGTCCCACGCCCCCTTCTCCCCTTCTTCTGACTGCACCTTGCGGATCAGGCAGTCCTGGCAAACTCTGGCAAATACAAAATGACACAGGCAATGGAAACGCCAAAGCTGTGTGAGTTTTTGATCACAGTTGAATATCTTTGTGAGAACCATCTAGAGCTACAATGTACTAATATGCCTGGTCATGTCATCCTGAACATAGCTGGGTAACATCACAGTGACACAGGTTCATCCCCGAGAAGCAGCAAGGTCACAGGAGGACCAGAAGCCGATGCCATTGTAATCTGGTTGCAGGTCGTTGCAAACGAAGATCTGGAAACAGACTCACGAGCTGCGACAGCGAATTTTCGCGATGTTTGGATTGATGAAACTAAGCATGCCATGGTGAAGCTTGCAAACACACAAGATAGATCAACATATAACTAGAAAGTGCCAGTCTCGCAAGAACTTAAAAGTCAAGCTTCAAGAGATGATACAAATTCTTCATTCATCTTGGCTCACCAAAACCTGCATCATTCTATAGTGTATATACTAGTCTAGTCACTTTGGATGCTCACCCGGTCGGCAAGGGGCCGAGTGCTCGTTCGCCCGATCGATGACGGTGGATGAGCTCCGATCACTTGTTGAGCTCCGAGGTTCACCGGTTCTTGGACCGGTGAACCAGTAAGTCTAGCAGTCGGTGGTTCGAATCAAGTCTCAATTGGTCAACCACCCGATGTTCACCTCGCATGAAGGCTAAATGGAGGGTGTATGCTGAATGGGGGTCAGCAAAAAGTGCTTGATTGTACGAAGTTAGTGCATCAAAAATGCCTTCCACAAAGTTCTGCGAAGGTTTCTGTTTTTGTTGCGGGTCGTTCTTCCTACGAACAAAACATAATTCCACGGAACATCCACGAAGAGCCCCGAGTTCCACGAATGTCCCGGGCCTTCAACGAAGTTAGTATAGGCAAAATAGGTGTTTGATGGTTTTTGCATTTTCTTGCAAAACCCTTTCTGTGCACTAGCCACCAGTGCCACCAGCGGCGACAGAGACTTTGATCCGGGTCGTTCGATCTTCGGCGGGTCCTTCAGGGGGAAGATCCCCTGGCACTGCTTCTCCATCTCCTGGCGGGCCAATGAGCCACGAACGACCTTTCAAAGGAAAAACCACATCCAAATCCAAACTTCTGACCTTAGCACA